GTAATGATTTTCTCTGTATTTTACAATTAAAAGAAACATTATTTCCATGAATATTACTTCATGTTTTAGATAATTTTTGCCTTGTTTATGATCATTTATATAAAAAAAACCTAATTAAGGCAAATTATCTACTTTTACTAAATGAACAGCTGTGCATTTTGTTTTTTGTTCAACGGTACACCGTAAAATTAGTGAATTAGCATTGAATTATTCATGAAAAAATCGAATAGTTTCTTTTCACTATAATGAATTACTAGCTCAAGAATAATTAAGTAAAGCCTATGGGCACCTACGTAAATACATGTATTCTATAGAATTCAGGTTTTATATTCTGTTTCGTAAGACAGTGGAATGATGGAAGTTAGACATTAACAAACAACGTCAGATATCGTCGACTCAACGGTTCAGAGTTGTTGGGGATGTTAGATCCCCAAAATTCGCTTGATAATGCCGTATTTCGGTTTTCACGTTCGCCAGCAGGGGCTGATCAAATGACCTTGAGATTTCAACTCCCACCAGGAAAATCAATGGCTGTGATTGGCCACAGTGTATTTTAGTATGCTATTTTCTTAACTGTCTCAAGGACGTTGTTATGTTGTATAAATAAACGAGAGTTGTATGCTTGATTGTACTGGGATTGCTGGGTGCTTGTAGAATATACTTTCTACTCTTACCAAGACTTCTGTTTTCCCGTTTGGATTCAAGGTAGCCTTCCTGGAAGCTGGTAAAAGTCTCGTTCGCGTTTATCGACTAAGGTAAACTCGTAATAGCCTCAAGCATACTAAGTGACGATCATATCAAGAGTTAGGCGTTCGCACTCAAAACCGAAGATTCAGGATTCGGATCCTGCGGTTAAAAGGATCGAGGATGAGCATTACTGTCAAGTTCCATACCAGGATGAATTGGCCGTCCAGTGTTTCCAGAATTCTAATGCTGACCTAAAATTGACCGGTTCATAGTTTAAAAAAACAATAAAAATCTAGTAAATTAAAATTGTCTTGGAACCCTAAGAAATGTCAGTCAAAATTACATTTTTGATAGATAAACGTTTTAACTAAAATAATTCATGTCATTGCAGGTCCACATGATTCTATCATAGTGATAATCCATGTGTTGTTGATCAAGCAATTAAAAGATTTAAAAAAATACCGAAATTATAGGATAAAGCCGTAAAAATTTTTATTATACATTTCTTGAAGAGAATAAATAAAAAATTGAATAGAATGACAAATTCAATTGAAATATAGTTAGTTGGTCAAGTGTTTATGAGTATTTATTCATTCTTTAAAGAATTCATTAATTTATAAACGAGCTCTTCAATTGTTCACTTAAGAAAATTTTGTTTCAAATAAATAATACACACAGTCCCTAATCGCTTTCATTTTAAATTACCATGATTGCAACAACAGTTATAACTTTATACCAGTCAGAATACGAGATTTTATTGAACGGTTGACCAATAAAGAAAATTTTCTCGAGTTTACAATCTTAAAGCATAAAATCCTATTCAATTATTAAAAATATTAAGATAGATGCATGAATAAAAATCTTTTCACTGATAGAAAGATTCATTGATAAACATGTTGAGAGTAAATTTTTCAAAAAAAAAACACTACTTTTTTTTAATAATAACAGCATTAAAAATTACTAAATGTATTTAGTATATTGAAGAAAATCCTATCGATGCTCCTTGTGAAAGCTTTTTGTGACAAACTTTCACTGATGTTGACATAAACGAGTGGATTATCAAAGAGAGCAAAAAAAAACTAAAACTTACTGACATGATTACAAATTAAAGTTATCAATCAAGGTTAAAAAACGAATGATAGCTGAGCCCCCTGACTTCATATGTTAGATATATATAATAGAATAGATATATTAAAGTTAAGCAAAAGTCAATCAAAACTTTTACATAAATATACATATGGTAGTACACTCGTAGCAGTTTGATGTATGTAAGATAGTCACAAAAGGTTCGCCGTTAAAAATAACTACTTTATGATAACTTACTTCTCGAAAATCATTTGCATTACGGGGTTTGTGAAGATTGTTAAGTTGCACATTTTGAAACCATGAATCGATCAGTGTTAGACCACCGTTAGAAATCATTTGTCTTTTGTCAGTAAAATGACTATGACTATGACCTTTTCATTTTTAGCACCATATCCAATTGAAGCTATCATACAAAAGACGAAATCTTCAGCAGTATAGAAAAAATCCTGTATATTATTTGAAGTAAAAATGATCTTAAAAAAAACACAATTTAAAATTCAGATATTCTTGTCAATCAGTTTCACTCAACAGTATACACCACGAATTCAAATAATTCAAACTAGCAGTATTATAGTAACGTGACTGACAATTTAGTAAATCCCAAGGGTAGACAACATATGATTTATTGCTAGTATGTAATGATCTGATGTAGTTGATTAAAATAGCTTATGACAAAAAAAAAGAAACAGAAAGGATTTTTTTTTCTTCATTTCAATGTATTGACATTTACGTGGAGGTTTAGTTGACGTCATTTATTTTTTGGAATTTGAAACTGCAAGAAAATAAACAAAATATGGCATACTTGTAATTAGTAACTTAAGTCTCTCTATATCCCTTTCAATATATCATTGGAACCGATATTAGAAAATAAGGAAATCGTAGTCAACTGAAGTTTAATTATTTTAGAACTAACAAAAATGTCTGTTTATGGAGATTTAACATGTTGGCTACGATTTGCTTTCATTCATGATAAGGAGACGAAAAGTAAAAAACGTTTGGAAAACTGACTACTGTCATGTTAGTAGTAATGTAGTGTTTTCATCATACTGTAGTGCAAATTGTTAGGTTATATATATATATATATATATATATATATATATATATATATATATATATATATATATATATATATATAATGTTATTCATAGGTTTTTCTAAACTGTTATGCTAGTCAACTGAGTATATCATGTAGCAAGAATTGGTCATTTTTCTATGAAAAAAATTCATAACATATGATTACAAAATTAATAAATTATAAAGGCACAACAATAAACTAACTTAGAAATTTCACACCTTCACTATCCACTAAAGAGTGTTGGAACATTTCCATGTATGTCAAATGCAGATTCCTGATTATAACACCTTTAATCATGTAAGATGTTTATCCAGTTAAGATCGTAATATTTTGACGCTGAAAGTTTTTTTTTAAATGTTCAATAAAATGACATAAGTTTACAATTAAAATATCTTTTTCGTAATAATTACTGTTGTAAATAATTGTCAAGTAATGTAGATGAAACTATTCTATTTTTAAATGATCATATGAATACAAATGAGCACCTTAAATTAAGTAGGAAACAGCAAATCTAACTTCCATATTCATGTGTTTGATACTAAACGAACGTACCTGTCCAATTTCGGTTTCTAGTCCCAGGAAAAATGACTAGTGTCTTTATGATATAATCATTGTTAAAATCGTTTACTGAAGTTGTAGATCCTGATGAAAGATATCCAGTGAATTATTATAGTATGTTGATGATGTCAAGCATAAGTACAAATGACTGTCAGTGCATGAATTATAAGCTACTACTCACATCCTTGAAAAAGAACATATTAGTGTATACTGGAAATGGTAATGTATTTCAAAAAATATTCAATCGTCAAGTGTAATTAGTTTGCTTGTTTATATACCGTCAAATGAGTATAATTTTCTGAACACAAATACATCAATGCTTATTTCCTACTTAGCTTCTCATTTCTTCATTTAACATGAATATTTGTAACATACATATTTATTTACTAGGAATATAGACCTGGCTTCCTAAACATGGAATCTTTGATAGATAAATTGAACAAATAGCACAATAAATCTCATTCGGATAACTAAGATAAGTTATTTACTGCCAACAATTATCATATTAATTATCTTTTCACACAGTTTGTCCATTAGAAGTACATGAGATATAAATGGGCATTTTAAGCTGTCTAGAAAATTTATATGATAAGAGTTGAATGTATCAAAATGTATTATGTCATTTTTATATTGTAGACTTTTACTTCAGACAAACAAAACTGAATAGTTATTGTAATAAGTGAGAAAGTATCATTACACATTATTAATAATAATAATAATAACACTGTCTAGTTTACTTATAATTCAGTGTAGGCAGTAATGAATTCCTCAGGAATATTAATAATTCATACTTTCGTATTATTAATGATGTCTGACATAGAATTTTATCAAATACTGATTAATATTTTATGAGATAAGAAATTCTTGTTGCAAGTGAAGAAAAATAACAATGCGTGGTAAAATGATTAAAAACTGTTACTATAACTAACTAAACTATCCTACTACACTGTATAATGTTTTCATCTTATATTTTTCCAGTGTCTACACTGGAGAAATGAGTTTGGTTAATTTTTAATCACTTAAATTCTAGTAGCTGATGAATGTTTTCATAAATCTTATTAGGCTGTGACATAACAAGAATGACCCTATTGAATTTATTATTCATAAACTTTTATTAGTTTATCGGTAGATCAATTACCTTATGTCCATAATCAATAAAAAACTACAAGGGATAATATAATTCACTATTGGTAAAAGAAACTAATATCACAGGATAGGTACAAGAATCAATACGCATAATATAAACTTCTAAATCTCGAAGTAATCGGATGGGTTTTGCTATGTTGACTTCTGTGTTTATATGTTAAGGTGGTGGTTATCTGTAACAATTACTATGGTCAAATAACTTACGGATTGATGCTACATATTGATTAAACTTTATACTTTTCTATTTAAACTGGTTTTGCTAAGCCCCTTTTTTCGCTTTACAGTATGATGCGTAACCAAAACATTTCTGTTATTATTGTCAGTACTTAACTAAAGTACATGAACTTTTAAATATTGGATACAACAGAAACACAGGTCATTAAACTCACAATTAGATAATAAAATAATTCAATATTTTGCCTAAGAAGTAAAATCATGTTTATTTTAAATGAATAAACAAAACTTTATCAATTGTTATCTGTATTCTCATAGACCTGATGTAGAATATTTGACTACTGGAAGCAATTCAATTCACCCAACAACGGATTTATTTGATAAAAATGAAAAATTAATTTTGAAAAATGAAACATCGAATGTTAGACAAATAATTGATCTGTTTAACAAATGTGCTAATAATCATCTATCTAGTATCCAGAATATAGAGTTGAATAGAAATGAACCGCTTTGGACTAACGAACGAATCTATTTGAGACCAGTGAATAAAACACTTAATCTTTGGAATTCTAATGAACAGCCAAATTCCAAGTCCTTTTCGTCAAATATAACCACCCAATCAATCATAAATATGCAAGTGAATCACACTGATCTAAGTATTGATTCACCGTCAGTTAAAGACATAATCAATAATATAAATCATAAATTCAACCAACTAAATTGTAATGTACCAATGGATAAACATAATCATTACCACAAACCGAAACAACACTCATTTAAAATGTGTACCTATCCAAATGTGTTACATAAGGATTCCATTCAAACTGAACAAAATCAACGACCTATTGATAGAAAAGAAGGAAACGAAAAAGAAAACAATGCTGACAATAATAAACCCACTGTAGATGAATGTACATACAGAAATATAGAACTAAATTCTAACTTGTGCTTTAAACAGTACACAACATTCATTCAAAGAAATTGCTATCAGAATCTCGGATTTTCAGTATCATGTAAGTTTTTGAATGAGAATTATTTTTTTTTTCATGAAACATTACTTTTAGAACGTATGTTATGTCATGTTTAACTTTCTTCCCTTTAGTGAAAATAGATACTTAATTGTTGAAAGCCTTTGTTAGGATGATTAGTATAAATCTTTTACACTTTTACTGCAAATACAGAAACCAATAGATAATCAGTTGCATCTAGCGAACTAAGCACTGTTAATTAGGAACTCTAGATCCTAAATAGAGAAAACTATACAAGTTGTCCGAAGAAGTAATAAGGGCCAAGATTGATCACAAAGACATCATTGAGAAAAATTCGCAACTTCATTGATAGCCTTTCTTATACGAAAAAGATGTCTAATGTTTTGTTGCCTTTTTTAATTTGCATTACGGGGTTGTGAAGATTGTTAAGTTACACATTTGAAATCATCAATCAATCAATGTTAAACCAACATTAGAAACCTGGAAGCACTAGACGGCCGTTTCGTCCTGATGTGGGACTCATCAGCAGTGCGCATCCACGACTCATGCACCTCGGAGGATTCGAACCCAGGACCTTCGGTTTTGCCCGCGAACGCCAAACCTCTAGACCACTGAGCCGGTGTCTATTTACCGAGAATATACCTTGCTATTCAACTGTATTTACTTTACAAATTAATTTTTACAATCACTGGTTGGATTATCAAACAAGTGAAGTCTTCTCAACGACATGTTTCACAGTACTATGATATCTTATTACATAGAAAGCAAGAATCAAAAGTGCGTGTAAGTAAACTGAAAGTTCGGGAAAACTTTTGATAAATAATTACCGATTCCGAAAAAGTAACATTTACACTGAACAACGCAGCTGGACGATCTGGACTTCACAGATGACCTGACTCTTCTATCGCGCATGCAACAACAAATGCAAGAGAAAACGACCAGTGTAGCAGCAGCCTCTGCAGCAGTAGGTCTCAACATACGTAAAGGAAAAAGCGAAATTCTCCAATGCAACACAACATGCACCAACCAAATCACACTTGATGGAGATGCCTTGGAAGACGTTAACACCTTTACATATCTTGGTAGCATCATCGACAATCAAGGTGGATCCGATGCAGATGTGAGGACGCGGATTGGCAAAGCAAGAGCTGCATTTCTACAGCTGAAAAATATCTTGAATTCCAAACAACTGTCAACCAAAACCAAAATCAGGATTTTCAATACAAATGTCAAGACAGTTCTACTGTATGGAGCGGAAATTTGTAGTACTACGAAAGCCATCATGCAGAAGATACAAGTATTCATTAACAGTTGTCTACGCAAAATACTTCGGATTCGTTGACCAGACACCATCAGCAACAACGTACTGTGGGAGAGAACAAACCAGATTTCACTGGAGGAGGAAATCAGGAAGAAGAGGTGGAAGTGGATAGGACATACACTGAGAAAAGCACTGGACTGCGTCACAAGACAAGCCCTAACCTGGAACCCTCAAGGCAAAAGGAAAAGAGGAAGTTCAAGGAACACATTACGCCGAGAAATGGAGACAGACATGAGAAGAATGAACAAAAATTGGAAAGAACTGGACAGATGTGGAAAGGGAAGCCCAGGACAGAGTTGGCTGGAGAAAACTGGTTGGCGGCCTATGCTCCATTGGGAGTAACAGGCGTAAGTAAGTAAGTAAGTACGCTGAACAAATAAAATTATTCAATCCATCAAACAGAACAGTCCCAAACAAGATGAAACACATCTCCTGAGTTTCACTACTAGCCTCAACCTACTTGTACCATATAGACTTCTTCTCGTGGTCAGTAGCCTTTTTAATGATATTTTCTTCATAATGTTTAAAATATGGAATAAATTACAGATATAATTGTCATCAGATAATTTTAAATCAAGTTCAATGAATTAGAAAAGTTTATATTTCTGGATGTGATATCGTTTTTACTAATCTAAAAAGCTAAGCTTTTCTGATATGCAAAAATTAGTTCCCAGCTTCCTATTGATTGTTTACAGTGAACTGAATTTCTTGGCTCATAAAAAGTATAGAATATTTAATTGACACATAGAATTCAACAACATAATTCCATTTGAAGTGAATAACATTTCTACTGATCTTGACTTCAAATAAAACTTCATTATCAAATCAATATGCATATTTTCTAGTCATCTGTTTCGAATCATTCATCCAATTTTTTTACTAATTTCTGTTCAGAAATCCAGGCCTAGCTTGTTCTGGCGACAAGTGATATCGATCTCAACATTGATATTTTTTAAATGATTTATTCCCCTTAATATAGGGAATTCCCAAAAAACATATGGCAATAACTTTTGTTGATGATTACCTTCTGCACAGAAAAAACTCAACAACAGATAGATACACTCACAACCAAAAAATGTTTAGGCAAATATAATGTTTCTAACAAATCACAAGGACAAATTTTCCATTAAATTCCATAGTTGAAATTCCTCTTTACATGCATGTAAATGAATATTTTTATTCGTTATACACAAAAAATAACTGAATAACTGTTTTGTATATCGAACCTATTTTATTTGCACCAATAATGTTTACCGCATTTTCTTTTCATCATTGATGTGAAAAATCATTTCATCATTGTGTTTTCGCAGCGCCAAAATATCTAAATAAATTTTTTTGTAATATGCCTAGTATTAAACTGGAGTTGTGTTGTGATGTTTAATGTCATAGTTTTGATCGTGATACATGCTAACCTCACAAACTGGCTATTTGAGCGAAAAAGCAAAAGCAGAAGAGAAAGTCTATTTGGCTACCGAATCTTATGTACAAATATTCGCCCATATATAAATATATATATTTCATCTAGTTAGAAAAGAAAACCATTCCTTGACAAATGATATTTTTTGGGGATGTTAGCTCCCCAGAACTCGCTTGATAAATATCTTTATTTTGAATTTATCTCATGGGCCGATCAGTTGACCTGGAGATCACATTTCCCACCAGGGAAATATTTGGCTATGATTGGTTACTATGTCATTTTAGTGTGCTATTATGTGACTCTCCCAAGGACGTCTCTATGAGGTATAAATAAACGCGATTTGTGTGCTTACATTGATTGTGTGTTGGCTGGGTGTTTGTAGAATACACTTTCTACGCTATATCAAGAATTTCTGCTGGTACAGTTCAGAAAATTTGATCACAGTAGGCTACCTGGACGCTAGTCCATTGGTTTGTTCTCGTTACTTTACTAAGGTGAACCAGTATTAGTTTTAAGCATACCTAGAGACGAGTATAACAGATATGTATACATCATTTATTACATTTTTGTTAGTCACCAAGTGGCTTACTCCTTTGGTCATTTTTGATTGGTTAATTATGTCAACTTACCCTCCTGAAAAATGAGTCGGCACCCTCCTCTAAACTGGATGAATAAATCGCTTCAAACAAAGCCATAGACTTTCTTCTGAACTCTCACTGTTGAATGAGGCTGGGTTAAGTTTTATTCTAGGTAATCTTTTTCTTCGTACCCTTCCACACCAAAAACATTGTTGAATTTTCGTATACTCACGTTATAAATAATATGACTATATTTTTCGTACTAACTCGATAATTCATTAGAGGCGATCGTAATTTAAGGGATAAACAATGTCTGAAATAAGGCTATCCGATCGGTAATTAGGTTTGAGCTCACTTAGAACTTGTGTTTGACAGTAATCAAGGTTTTTGCCTAGAAACAAATTTACTATGAGAATACTACACTTCTGGTATTACATCATCGAAAATTTCATCAGAACTTTCATTCGAACTATGTGAATCACTAGGAACAAACCATTTCCAATGAAATAACATGTGGATTCTCATGCAAAATTGATTCAGTCGAAATACTTTTCTCACAAGATATACTTGAGCTGATTGCGTGACTGTGATTATTTTCTGAAAGTGAACCGAGACATCATTCTATTTTTTTAGGATCTGAGGTCAATTCGAAGTAAAAGAAATTTGATCCATATATGTACCGAATATCTATTCTTGTACATCTAAAAATTGTTTGTCCTTCTACTGCTGCTGGTTCTGTCGAAAAATCGATTTAAATGGGTTCGCTAAAACTGACATTCTCATTAGCTCGTTACATCAGTTTGCACAAATCGATTTTCACTGTTTATAGCCGAAGAATACTTTAGCTCTTACTGATAATACATGTTCCGAAAACGATTATAAAATCCAAAAGGTAGGTTTAGTACAAACGGAAAGTCAAAATTCAGAAAATAAAGCCAATATTATTTGAAAGAATGTGGTTTGTTGATTATGTGCACTGAACATTAATCATAAGGTTGTTAGTTATAAAAATTATATGATAAATACAAATATGCCTAATCTAAGGTATTAGCTTTTTATAGTAAATCATTACATAAGAAATACATATTATAGTGGTTACATATCTGTAATAATTCTTAGTAAGTGTAATATAAAAAAATATAAATACTCTTGGACTGTGGCATATTTACAAAGTCATGTATGTTTTGTAATGATAGATACCGTATCCTTCCCCGGGAAGGTGAACTCAGGTTTATTCACTGGAACGTAATTTCATTTTTTCATTCAAACGAACAACTGCTAGTGTGATGTTTATTCTGAGTTCTTTTCTTTGCTTTAGATATGACTTCGTTATTCAACGAAACTTCAAATAATTATGTAGTAATAAGTGATATTCAACTTCTCAATCAAAACAAGGATTTACAAATCGGGGATCGCATATTATCAGTAAGTATGTAAAGTCCAGTTTTCGATATATATATATATATATATATATATATATATATATATATATACTTACCAATGACCAAATAGGTCGGCAAACGAAGAGGGAGAAGAAAAACTAGGAGGAAACATTTACTGAATTTATTCTTACTTTAGATTAATTCAGTAGGGTACATGAATAAATATATGTCTAACAAGACTAGAAGTCACTAAGAATAAGAAAAATACACTTTTGTCCAAATTATGTCATTAAAGTAGAAAAATCAAGAACGAAGATCACGTTTCAACTAAAGGAATTCTGGAACAGAATAGAATATGACAATAATTAAAACAATAAACGAAAGCTTATGATTCATCTAACAAAACAGGGATGTAAGTAGTTCAAAGACGTTGAATCAAAGGAAACAATCTCCTTAAAGTTGGATTCTATCATTCGTCATTGTTTCTTTAATTCACTCTTTACATCGAACATTGTAAACAAGTTCACGTGTCCAAATTAAATACAGTCAAAATATTAACAAAGCGAACTCCGCCTAAAGCCTCTAAGGGGCTACTGCGTATCCCAAGCCCGGATAAGGGAAGGGAGCTAGGGATGGGGTTGGCGACCTCATCCGGTAGAAAACTAACTCGCTAGGAAAACGCTATTCATAAAAAATTCTAAATCATTTAAACTCTGCTTTGGGAGTTAGAAGGTCTTCTTTCAGAAGAGTCATAATGTCTTATGATAAAAGCCGAGTTTCTAAGAACGACATAAGGCCGATGTCCCTTGTGACAACCAGAGCAACCATTCTTTTTCGTACATGGAATGTTCGTATAATGTGGAAGACCGGTAGAGCCATCCAAGTTGCTGTAAAAATGAAAAGATGCAACCTAGAGGTTAGAGTTGGAGAATGTTGGTCTGTAGCCCATGCTACACTGAGGGTAACGGACGTAAGTAAGTAATTAATAAAGATAAAGTATTGATTAGAATATATGCAATAGTTGATTTATTTCTCTAAAAGGTAAATTTAAAAAATAATGTTGAATTAATTTACATTGACTTAATCTTAAAGTTTACGTAAATACTGTTTATTATGCAAATTAAATCTCTTTATTCAGGTAAACAAAATAAATTTAACCAACATGGATTTGATGAAAGCAGTTAAATTACTAAAATCTGTGCAATCTCCAATTCAATTAGAAATGCAAAGGCTGAATATTGTGGATTTGGTAAGGAATAAAATTTATAAATACATCTAAATCTATTAAGAATTGTCCCACTGAAGTATAAATGTTCTTATTTTAAGTACATGATATTGGTTGGGGTTGAAATTCAAGTTCTCAATTCCCAAAGCATTTTCATACAAAAAAATACGTTAACCATACTTATATGTAAGATAGAAAGTTTACCGATTGGGATATAATTTCTTTGTGAACATGAACCTCTTTAGGTATACTAACCGTGATGAAATCCCTTTTTCGCTGTTTAAAGAATTACGTTGTTTTTATATACTCATTAGTATTGGTTGTTTAAATCTTCCTATTGATAGTCAGTACAGCATCTGATCAGTCCCTTTGGTATATGTGCATCCTGTGCAACTTGCTTGAATTTAGCCATTAGGACTCAGTAGTTTAATGGATAATGCGATGGTGTTTGATGCACAAATGCCAAAGAGACCTAATAATTGTAAGAACTGTTAGTTAGATATCCTCGTTGACGGTGAACATTGATAAAATTCATTATCTGCATCAAGTTTTACACAGGACACACTCATTGAAATTATTACTGTATCAATGGCTGTCTTAAATTCTAATGAAACTTGAACGTAATATCTAGCAAATAATTATATCAGAACTTAATCGAATTCAACACTTGTCATGATTTTTGTTTCAACTAAAATAAATTTAGTGATAAATACTTGAAACCATTGAAAGTAAAAAGTTCTATTCTCCCATCAGTTTATTTATAGTATAAATAAGAATTCACTAGCAAATGAGATTTTATCGTTACTTAATAAAAATCGTCTAATTCAGTCTACTGAACCAACAACCGAAATCAGTGAATAATATTTTCTTTGAAATGATGTTGTAACACGTGTAATCAGCAGTCACTGAAAGGCGGATAAGATCTAAAATCACAACACACAAGGTTAGTTTAACAAATCCCACCAAGAGAGAATACGAAGTGGTAACCACGGCACTCTTTTATTTTAAAATTAAAATACGCGGGGTTTGTACAGAAAAGGGTGGCTAGTTTACCAAAGTCTTATGAGTCATCCTGTGAGTTCAGAGCACACAGGGTTTGTTCTTCAGCTTCCAAAGCGTTTATGTTTGATCGCCCTGAAATAGAAATGGTGATTTTGACTCCGTTACAATGTTTTATATTCAAACTGTGCAATGCTCTCATGTTTTATGCCAGACTAATATGTGTAGAATTAATTATAAATGCGAGTGTGCAGCCTTAGCAAATGAGACTAACTAAAGCGAAATTTCGGTTTAGTAATTTCATGATGCCCATTTTAAAATCAAATCCTGTCTATTACTAATAGATCATCATGAATTTTCTCTTTAAAATTTACAAAGTCACTGGATAATGATTATGAAGAAGATTGCCTGTCAGTCGATACAGATACAGATGAAGAGACTGAAATAATAACAAGAATTATTGACCTTGCACAAAATCATTTCTCTGGCAAGCGCATAAAAACCAATGAACAATCTAAGTTGGAGGTAAGCAGCAGATAACATTCTTTTTTTTTTTGAAAGAAAATTCACCTAAGAAAAAAACCGAAACGTAAATATCTACATTTTGTATAATATATATAGCAGATATGCGTGTTATTTCTAAGAAAAAATTGATAATTTTAAATTTGATTGTAATAAGTATTAATTTCTAAAGGGAACTTTCCAAAAAGGACTGCAAACTGAAACTAACCAAAATAGTAAACGGTATGTCAATTCATTTCACACCAGCTGACCAACCAATGACTAATCTAAATTCAGTAAAAAAGTTCGCATGCCCTACTCTTCATTTATTTCAGTAAAAATTTTTACTGTTTTAATTTGAGAAATCCTATGTCAAAAAAAAAATTTATTTAAATATTAAAAAACTATCATTCTTGTTTTGTTAATAGATCTTGTCATGTCATGATCAAATTACTCAAGATATGTTGATGCTATCAGTTAGATCTTTGTTAAAATTCTATCTGTATATAAAAAATAAATGGAAAACATTTCAATGTTTCTTATGTGAGATGATAGTAGAAGGGACATAAAGCATACAACTAGCCGTAATAGAAAATGTGCATCGATAGATTCAGTGCACTGAATCATTTTGTTCTTGTTTTGCGAAAATTGGTTTTATGTTGATAACATAATTACGTAAGTGGATTTCATCACCTGTCGATTTCAGTTTCAGTACTGTTGAAAAACAAGAAGGATCTGAACCACTGAACTCCAGTCCATCTATTCCAATGACTGACTGCTCTCCACAAAACGTTATTGTCCTGGGCTTAATACAAGATAATGTCATAAGTGTGCATTGTTAAGGATTCTCATGCTAGCCCGAAATAGCTGTTCAGTCCTCCCCGATTTAAAATGGGTTTCCCAACTCTGATACATACTATGTATTATTTATATCACTATCACTTGTAATAGTCACATTATTATGTGTTCTCACTTCTTATTTACTATGATTCATTGTTCACTCTGCATTTATTCACAAACTTTCATGATTGTTTTAATGTTTTCCAGCCATGTATATAAATAAAGTGATGATGACTCAAAGGGAAACACTGCTTGTTTCATTTTAGGTAAATGAAATATGTCAAATAATTATGTAGTTTGAACATACTTTAAAAATCTTTAACACAACACTTCATATTACCACTTAATTTCATGTGATTTTATGTCAAACCACAGTGAATTATTTCATTAACATATAAACCTGTTAGAATAAAAGGATAATATGTAACTCCTTCAGTTGTTCACACACAATACCAAGTATATGCAATGAATAATAGAATAATCAGTGAAACATTCTATTCGCAGCCTGACTATTAATCAGAGCGAATCACAGCTGAAAAGGTCAGGTTAACACCATTTAAATTTTAAGTTTAATTTGGTGTAAATCTTATCTTTCTTCTACCTAACATCCAATGATATAATTCTTCTTCACTTACAAAAGAACCGAAATAAATGAGTGTAGACATGGAAATTCACTTACATATATTCATTCATTAGGTGGTTGAGGGTAGTCGATAAGAAACCTCAGACCTAATTGTCATGCTACTTTCCAACCGTCAGCTATCGGTATCTTCTAGTTTAAGGCAACTGAGACTAAATATAAACCTGTGTCACTCAGTATCACTGTCTGAGAAAGTCACTGAGATATTTATGCTGCAACTGACCTTCTATGGAACTGAGATATTCACAAAAATATTATCACTGAACAGTAACCAGTGTAATAATTGTTTAGTCCTCAGGCAAGTTATTGGATGGTTAGTTACAGTTGACATGAAATCCTGAGCTTAAATTTCCTTGACATTTAGCACTCGTCAGTAAGGCCTATCTTCAGTATCAATATGTGGCACGCAACGCTGGATCTTTCGACTAGTGACCGAATTGTAACTTGATTGATAGAATTCGATCAGTAATAAAGACCAGAACTAGATCATTAGTTTAGAACTAATCAGTCGCTAAGTTTTACGTCCTTATGTTGCCACAAAATTACAGACACTTTTCTAAGATTGATAAAAATTAGAAGTTACGCTTCTCAGTAAGATGATTTGTAAGATTCTCAACAAATTGAAAATTGAAATTTCAGTTCTAAAAATTTATCTTCATCGCCTCTCAATCTACTCATAGAAGGTCTACATTCAAATTTGCAATCATTTTTAATTTATCTCACCATTGTTTTTCAGTTGGATTTTTGTGAGAAAACAACTCAACTAAAAATACTTGGGTAGTTAGTTATTTTAAAAAAGGCAAAAAATATGAATCTGAATAATTAAGTTATTAGCAGACGATAATAAAGAACGATTGAAATCCATTTCCCAACCTCATGTCTCTTTACATTTAAATCAATTTGAAATTTAAGCAGATGTAAAAAGTGAGGTGTCTGTATAAATTACTTTGACTTTCCAATGCTTTGCATCGATGATCACTATGGCTTCTACAAACAATAAACCTAAACAAACTAATGACATTGCTTAAACAACTATTAATGTTATAAGATAGGAAAAAGAACTAAAAACAATATTTAAAATAGAATCGTTTACATAGAATAGATAGAATATGGCGAGCAATGGAATCCATGACATGTTTTTTTTGTCCTGTTTGTGACTCGTCAGTTGGCCATATTGATGTAATCCGGATAGGATACCCATATACCAATAAGAATGATTAAATTTCTGACAAACTATTAAACAACGGGACATTCCAAACTATTCCAACGTGAATTGACTTTTTTTTAGGTAAATCAGTTTTAATGATAATACTTGTAGTAAATTTCTATCTTACTGCATAATTAAATGATCAGTTTATTTTGATAATAACAAAACCACTTTACCGTATGAAATTACTAGCTAGTTTCAAAGTACCTTGAGTTTACTTGTTTTCAGCATAAAGGCTAAAACATCTTTCAGTTTTTTGTTATTCAAAGACTGGAATGTATTAGATTCATCGTCTTAATTTGTTGGAAAAAGCTTGAAGTGATTTATTCATTGCTCATCTTTGTGTAGCTTTAAACAACTAGTTTCGTCAACAGTTAAAATGTTAATCCAAATTCACATCTATGTACATATGGAATACAACAGAATAAATACACCTATTTACTTAGACCATAGGTTTTTTTGATTAAAAAGGGCACAAATAACTTCGTCTCTGTGAAATATTGGTTTTTTGTGGTAAATTATTCAAGCATATCAAGGAATACGTGCCAGAGTAAGTAAATGAAGCTTTAGTTCAAGGACACTTACTGTTGAAGATAGTTGCCTTGTATTTGTCATTAGAATGTGATCTATTTATGGCTTGTTAGTTGTATTAACTGGTTTCCAACATAAAACCTAGTCATATGCGGACATTCATCGGCATGTTTTGTGTGCTGGACGATATATTTTAGTCCGTATCGACATTGAAAGGAACCTTAAATTTTAGTAATAATAATGTACTTACAAGTGTCTATATTAGATAAAAATCAACAAGGCATAATCAACCATGTTTGGGAGTAAGAGAAGCTTTTTGACGCCAGTAGATAATAATCCCAAAATGTTATAAATTGACTAACTTTGAACCTGTAAGCCACTAGGTAGGAATAAAATGGCTAAAACGCAATGCATTTGATTAACGGCTTGTGAGTAACAGGTATTGACCACGCAGAATTTTTATATTACAAAGATGCAACTTGTCAGTACATTCTAGAATTTTATGATCACGTAACTATAGTCATTTCGTAATACAAACTATTTTCAAATGATTTTGTTTAATTTTTAGATGATTAGCAGGAAATATTGAATATATCTTGTCTATATTAGCATTAATGGCATCAATAATTATTATGTAGGAGATAGGGATATTTATTGATCTCCTTTAAAACAAGAAAAACAAACATTGTAGGATGACGTGAATTCATGTTATTTCTTTAAACTCTGTACATTTACACGAATTTTATAATAAGATGCTTTTTAAGTGTAACTTCTTTTTCAAACATAATGATTCAGTGTAGTAGTGAATAATAATTATAGTTTGTTTTCACATTCACACGAGACATTTAGTAATGAGATCATGACATCATCAGCAACAAGGAAAATATGCAAATTAGGATATATAAATAATAAAATTATGATAATACTTATTATAAAATCTGATAATTAAAAATTCATAATGTTAATAATGATAATAACCAACGTAGTAATAATTCAAGGTTATGTGAAAATTCTGAGGAACTTCAAGTAATTAAATAGCCACACTCGTTTATGGCCAAACAATTTGAGGATAATTACGATAATTATAAAAATGAAACTAATTATAATAACTCTCTTAGCATCAAATACTCACTGATCCAGGCTAGTTCATCACTGTTGACGAGGAAACCTGAAGTAACTGCTTCATCCTAGTGTAGAACTCCCCACTTGTGCCCATCCATTAGCCTTCAGTCTAATAGAGGGAGCTTAACCTCTAAGCGATTGAGCTGTTATTAAAAACTGAAAAAATCTAACTTGAATCAGTAATGATATTGAGCAACCATCTTCCATTACTTGCAGTGGATAACTATCACATATTTATTTCTTGCTCGATAAGTTAGTACAATGTGATCACTTTCGCGTCAAATTCTTCCACTTAATCATACTATCTATAAGTTTTCATTTCTGTTTCACCTCATAATTCTGATAACAGTATTGCTTAACAAATGATGAAGTCCGATTGTATCTGTTTACAAATACTTTATTTATGTTGCACGACAGGTGTCTGTTGATCGAGTTCACGATTTTCAGACTTGCATGTAAACGCTTAACACATAAGATACTAAGCTAGCGTTAGTTAGCGTTTTTTGGCAAGTTAGTTTTCTGATGGGATGGGGTCGCCAACCCTATGCCCAACCCTCCTTCTTTATCCAAGCATGGGACCGGCAGTAGCCCGAAGGTTCTAAAGGCGGAGTTAAGCTAGCATCTAATACCATTAATTCATGGTATCATGTAACCATCTCTCACTGGCTACAGTCATCACCTAACATCTCAACACAGTGCATGCAACACAGAATCATCTAGAATAATGGCCATATCGCAACTTGATCGATAGAATTCAGTTAGCACTAAGAAGAACTTGATATGCATGAAAGTGATCACTACCTAGTGAATGATCATTTGTGAAGGGGGAACTGTTTCACGCTCAGTATAGTTGATAATTTAAAATGAAAATCCTACAATATCCACAAACCCCTCATCATTGATAATAATAGTATTATTAATAATAATAGGTCTAACAAACATGATAACTTCACTAAAACAAGCAATGAAATTATCGCAATAAAAAAAGAATGTGCTGGTAAAGATGAAGTGTAAAAAGAAAACTAATAGTTATCCTTAAAGCAGTCAAAAAATGCTGTTTGTAATCAGTGAATATACTTTACTACTATTGAGATGAAAGGTAATGAAAGAAATAAAAGTTTTGTTTTCATATTTTCATTTCCACAAACCTATACATCTATATTCTAATATGTAGTAATCGAACAGAGCACTGAGAAGATATGAAGTGTTAGATTATGCTAATGATTTAATCTAAAACGTGAATTTTTCCAAGAAAACCTGTGGAATACATTACGGTACTAACATAACATTACGAGTTTTGTTCTAAGATTACTAAACTTAGTAAAATATTTTACCTTATAAAGAGTTGAAAAACAACCAGCTTCAAAAAGTTCGAATAGGCTAGTGATGTTCCATACGTGCAAAGCTAATATAGATGGGATGGAATAGGCGCTCGGTTCAAACACAGTTGAACAGTAATGTAACCGTAAAGTTTCACATCACAGACTGAAAGAAGTTAAACACCCATCCAAAAGCAGAAGGTTGCCTCCTAGTCTGAACCTTCAGGTGTCGATAATGTTATACTCAATGTTACGTAAAGGTTCATGTACTTTTGCGTAAAGTTACTTCGCTTGACCTTTTTATTTCTCATATAACTACCCTAGCCGGTCACAATCTGATTGGATTATCTATTGTTTATGTAATACTTACATAAACTTATCAAAGTCTGGAGGGTTTCATCTCTCTTTATTAACAGAATTTGTGAATTGGATGCACAAAAGCCAACTAAAAATGCATCGACTGACGAGGCTGATGTTGAACTACGTGAAAATCATTTACAGGACTAATCTAAAGAGCAAGATAAATATGATTAGTTATCAACAGCTTACATTTTGCTACTGGACGGAACTGACTGGATGTGACTAAATGGAGTTAGAATAAAATCAAACGCGGTAAAAACTAGTGTTTAGATAAACAAACTAACGGAAAGTCAGTCACTCAAACACAACGTAGAACTTGGCTTGTCCATACATCAGTTCAAGATGCCATGCATAACCAGCACAGTTAGATAAAATAGTCAGATCAGATCTCAGGGTTGTAGAGATAGTGTCAGGTAATATGAAAGACTAAGCATGCAGGGTACAATTCAAGAAAACACAAATTGGTGGAATTAAAAGGAGAGAGGAATTCAGCAGGTTACAATCCGCGGAAAGACAAAAAGTGAATGCACCTGCACCACTGCAAACGATTTCGAGCCATCCAATTCAAAGTCTACAACTATCAAATACAATAATGACGCGCACCTCAACCAGGTTATCTACACTTATCAACATAATTCAGTTCAGTTGTCACTCATCTCATAGACTGGTGTCATGCGTTAATTTAGCCGCCCTTACTTTTGTTTCAGCCTACTCTTACACTTCACAGTATCGCTCGTCGGGGTTGTCGGACAATTGTAATACTAGTCCTAATCACCAAAATGATGAAAATTCACCAATTCGTCAATTGATCTGCCATCCTTACTTATTACCATATTTATAAATTATGTATTGACTACTCGGTTTTCCCAAAAGATACAAGCAGTGCTTTGGAAACGCTTGTGATAGAGCACTAGTAGCCTACTAGTGTCCTCTATTTTTGATGGCTATGTTTTACACCTGTGAAGTGAAATGGAGAAAGTTGCTTCGCAGTAAACTCTTGCTTAGGTTGGTAAACGAATATATCATCTACACTACAAGTGACTCAAGTTGGCAAGAACCAATTCGGCTTCTTAAGCTAATGCCGTGAATTAACAAACACCAGACCATGACGACTGATGCCACTGCTAAAATAATTGAAACGACAGACATGATCAATTACTGCTCTCCCGATCATTAATTCTGGCGTTGCTGCAAACTACGTTTCGGATCTGAAAGGGCAGAATCGAACTCCAAACATGAAATTAATGGGAAGATCAAGGATAATAGGAACAATAAGAAAATTTACATGGTACTTTTGAACAGAAAGTTATATGCTTGACATTAGTGTTTAATCTGTGATTACAGACATCACTATCCTCAGATAGTTTAAACATTTCGAATGCATGCACTATATAGGTTTAAGTTAGTTGTCTAATAATTGTTTCTTAAATCAAATAAACTCACCTTTTCGCCGAACGATGAATCACTGCTTTTATCAATAGAATCGTACAAAAGTTTGTATGAGTAGCAATGAACGATCAGAACGACTGATAATTTAATAAAATTAAATTTTCAAAATCTTTATCAAACTAGTATGTCTATGTTTACTTTTGTTATATTATAATTTAAATCAGAATTTCTAATGCATGATTGCATGATAGTATTTTATCTAAGTCATCTTGTGATCGATGAAGCATGAACTAATCAAAATTTTCATTCATCATATTCACATAGAAGATTTAGTCATTTTGTTTGAGATGTGTAATCAGCCACATATTAGTTACATAATTTTAATCTTTCAGTTAATTGATCCATATTAAAAGAAATCTATTTGTGACGTGAACAGAATTCAGTATCTATCTAGTTAGCTTATTACACTTTACAATTATATTTTCAAAAAAATACTGTATACAGATTATGTTAATTAAATTCAGTAAAATCCTTTATCGACCAAATGTAATGAATAGTCGAAGAACAGGATTGTATGTTGATTGAAATCGTAAAATAGTAGGTTCTTGAACAAATGATCTGCATAACACAAATTTTTTTAATATTATTTGATGAATACATCTATATTTGTCATCTGTCAACTAAAAACATTTATTGATTTCTCTCATTGTATATCTAATATTATCAATAAAGAACCCTCAAAAAATAGATCAACATGAAGTTAAACTAACTCACACTGATAACAATAATACAATCAATGATACAATAACGAAAAGCGAAATGCAAAGTCAACGTACTCAATTGTTACAACGAAAAGTAATGAAATGGTTATTTGTGTATCGAGCATTTATCCAGTCTATAAAATATCGATCAAAACAACTTGACAAAGATGAATACGAATGTTTGGAATTATTCGCTAAGACAATGAATGAAATTATGAAAGAAGATGATCCAATGGATAATGATGATGAGACTGATGATAATGCAAACGAAAAAGTGTGGAGAGAGGGTATTGTTTCAAGTGAGTTAAAATATTTCCTAACTTCTTTAATGCGTTGAACTTTAAAAAAGAGGATGATAAATTGTGATCTGTTTGAAAATCATACAAATTTCAGTGTCAAACAGAATAGAAATGTTTTGTCAAAGTTTATAGAAATGTTTGTATTTAAGTTGCTTTTACTGGATTATCTAGACCCAGATAGGAAATTCGAATAAAATGTTAATGTATATACAGTTCATAATTTCAGTGAATTTAAATACTGAATTGCATAGTTAATCATAAGCAATAATCATTACTTGAGGTATCCAACTAGATATTTCAAGATATAAAATGACTAATGAATAAAACTTTCAGCAAGACAATATTATATACATGCGAAGTGAGTAAGTGTATGATAAATAATGCCAGAATTGATAAATCACCTTTTTACAGTGCCAAGGAAAGTTATAAAAATCTATTTTGATATTCTCAATGCATTAAAATGACCACAAAAAATCCATTTACATTAAACATTCAGTGTATTCAATGGGATGATGTGTATTTTGTGAAAAAAATTCACTGCATTGTTAGAATACAATTTTTATACAACCTTATAAATCTTTGAAAATTTTACTATTATAGTTTCCTTATTTTTTACTCGATTGATTGACAGATACAACTGGAAAGATTTTGTAATGTATAAACTAGGTGACGTATAAAAGTTAACTTTAGTGAAAAAAAACTGCTATAAGGTCATAATGTCAATTTCCGGATTCATCTTTTTTTTTGCCTACATATTTACAGTTTATCACAAACAATAAGTCGACAAGTTTGTAATAAACTGAGCAGGAAATGCATTGCGTTCGTTTCAACTATATGTTTTAATGATATTTAAAATCAGTGAGCTGACAGTATGTAAATTTCAGATCTAGAAACTCGTATTGTATCACTTATAAAGGGTCAAACAACTAAAACGAATGATACTAGGCATAAATTTGTACGATTGAAGTAGTGCTGAAATAAAGTTATTATTGCTCAGTTGGGATTATACAGCAAAAGTGATGCGACTTGGGCAGTCAGCAACAAGAAGTCAATCTTAGTAGAGTTCAGCTTTCAACGTATAATTATCACGTTTAGCATACTGATTCACACCATTCTATATGTATATAAGTCAATACTTATGACAAATTTTTGACGTTTACTACCATTGGATTACTCATATATTTTAAAGAACTAAAACAGGTAGAAATTGGAGATCAAGACTAATAAGAAAAAGTCATTCCTTCTTACTTGAGATCAAGGGTCCTGAATTCGATTTTCCCGTGCGCATTGCTGATTAGTTTCATACTGGAACAAAAGGGCAGTCCAGTGTTTTCAGGTTTCTAATGATGGTCTAACATTGATAGATTAGTGTTTGTAATTAAAGAAAAAAGTAAGAGCAATTTAAAATCAAACACATGATTCATGAATAATCACTTTTGGTTTAGTGAATGTGATTTTGATTATTTTCCGTTTTGTCAGTTGAAAGAATATAATTTTCTTGGTTTGCGTTAAATTATGCAGAAGTAATTATTCATGTAGATCGATACTACTTAGTTTGTGTAATTTTAACAATACCTATATATCATCGTACCAGTAGTCGTTTTCACTGTTTCATAAGAAATTTTTATTAATGTTCGAAACAAACAGCAAATTTCCAACCTAATTTTCACTGGGAATCTTGTGTTTAGTGACTGGTAAATCAATCGTAAGTCAAGAATCCTTAACAAATTGCTGAAATTCATTTGATATATGATCACCCAACGTTTATTAGAATTGATTAGCTGATAAATTCAAAGGCTTCTTTGGGCAAAAACTGTAGATCGAAATATCTCGAATTTCTATATTATTTAAGCATATGATCAAGCTATTCATCTCGAATACGTTTAACGTTACGTGATCAATTTCAATAATCATATGCTCATTACCTAAAATGTGTGAAGTCTTTTGCGAATTGAACAATTTTAAACTTTTCATATAAGAAAAATGCCATTTGTTTGAATTTTACATAAAAATTCAATTTGTTGATAATTTCGCAATGTATGACTGAAGTGGAAGTGTTTAGTGAATCGGTAGATAAAATTTCGTATCCTGATTAAAAATGACAATTTTAATATTGATTTCCACTAGAAATTTCAAGGTGTTATGGATTTTTCGCTAGTTTTACAGCTGAAATTATTAGACAGATATTAAAATATACATCATTTATTTCGATAATGAAATTACATCTGGTAATAAATCTTTGGAGCTACACTACTGACTATACCCGTGAGGAATGTTTTCCGAGGTCTAGTGAGAAGTGGTTACTTGTCGAGTTCAACCCTGTCCAGATGTGAAGCAGTGCTCACCGAAGACAGTGAATGAGGTTGCGCAAGAGGGTGAATTGATCGAAGGTAAACAATAATACCCTTAGATACTGTCTCAGTGGTCCAGAGGTTAGGTGATCGAACGCAAGACCGAAGGTCCTGGGTTCGAATCCTGTGAGGTTCAGGAGTCGTGGGTGCGCACTACTGATGAGTTATATAACTCTGAAATAAAATGTCAATTTACAATCAGATGATTTTGTCAGTATGTCAAATGATTAACTCGTTTTGATGTAATGTATCTTCGTTGCGACAGTCACTCAGAGACGACTACCGGACTATGTTAGCAAGGAATTTCCTATTGAAAACTTGTATTCAGATCCCGGACTGTTAATAATAATATACAATGCTCATGAAAAGTTTTAATATTCTACTAAGAAGTGGGCTTTCAGTAACAGCTCAAGACAATGTAGAATAATCAGTAAAATGAACTCTTTTTTCAAATATTGTGTTATTTTTGTATTGATTTGTTTTTGAAAAAAATCCCTCTGCAAATGTAATGTAATAATTACCAAATATCAAAACTTTGAAGCGTGAATGATGATAGAGCTATACACTTCATTTTATTCAACCTCCATGGCTAATGCCAACTGACAAAAATCAATATGCTCGAAAGCAGATTAATTCTGATAATCGCTGGTGAAAAAGATTATGTCTAGTTGTGTGTTTTTGTTCTATTTTGAAATAAACACATTTCTATGAAATTACTGATTGAAATAATAAGCGCATGATATACATACATAACAGGATTATGTCGAGTACAATTTATGAAGAAATTCCCATTCGAAATAATAGTTAAGTAATTGGATGATCTGTGGCAGAAAAAATATTCTAATGCAAAACAGATATTTAGGCGTTCGCGCACAATACCGAAGGTCCCGGGTTCGAATCCTGCGAGGTGCAGGAGTCGTGGATGCGCACTGCTGATGAGTCCCGTACCAGGACGAAACGGCCGTCCAGTGCTTCTAAGTTTCTAATGGTGGTCTAACAATGATTGATTAATGACTTCAAATGTGTAAAAAAACACAGTAATCTCCATAACACTGATTGAAAATGATATTTATATTCAGAAACTGATGATGTATATATACAAATTCTATAACTAAGTTAATTAAAATGAATTTCATAATAAATACAGAATTTTATTTACTGATGAATTGTATTTAGATACGTTCTGATAATAAATGACAGATAAGGAGCAGTTTTTGAAGCAGAACAAACGGTTTCGAAAATTAGATAATTTGATTCGAATGAAGCTTATAATTTGAATGACCAATATAATATACGAAAAACAACTTATTATTTGATATCTTTTTATATTTCACTCATACATAATCACAAGAGATCTTACAAGTTGGGAATGAACTATCAGACAATTACACTGTTTTATGAAGTAACAACCCACTAGTCTGAAGATATAATACTCAGTCTCTAGATAGAATAAGATTATGATGAACTGCCTAGAATGTGACATCTATTTAGTGTTGAATTATTTTTAATGGTTCCACATTTGAGATTAGTACTTGATATACTAATTTCCAAAATGACTATATTAATCACATTTCAATTCAAAGAAAATTGCTTGAACTAACTTTCCATTTCATAACCTACTTTAGAATTATACTTAAATGCTTCTCCTATTTTACCTTATATTCAGCATCCACCATGTAATGTTATAAATGATCCTATCATATTTAGAATAAATCTATCAGGGAATAATTATTATATACAGCTTTAAATCCATATATATATATATATATATATATATATATATATATATATATATATATATATATATGATTTCATTGAACTATTCCAGTAAACAGTATAAATTTGATTTAGATGAGTTATACAAAATTAAATAAAAACAAATTTTAATTCTCAACGATATTTCTCATTTCAGGAAATATTTCTGTAGGAATTCGCCTCAAAATCATTGTATAGAAGCTTGTAAAATTCCTATATTTCACTTACAACTATTTGGTTTGGTAGATTAGTTGTCAGTGGTTAAGTAGGTAAACGTAACATATTCGATTTCCCATTCATTTTTTAGTACCATCAGCTGTCATTTAAAATGCACAGCTTAAAAGTAGGTAAATAATTTTTTCCCCTTGAATTATTATGTTATTGGATGGCTGTCAGTTTTTGTTCTTCAACTGAATACGTTATCATATTGTTATTTGTTTCAATTTGTTAAAGTGGATGAACAAAAGCTGCCAAGATAAAACAATCTGCAGGTTGACTAAAATTTCATAGCCAATTTCATTGATGAATAAATACAGTAAACTATAATGCGTTTTACAATGCCAGTTGACATAATTGACAAAACGCTTTAAATTAAAACGCCTCGACATGATTATCATAGTCTTTCAGATACTAAATTCGCCTTGTCCATTGTTTAAACCTAATTGGTCTTGTTGATGTTATGAATATGGAGTAGTCCCTTTGGAAAGGGTGAATCGATTTATACTGTATTTACAAACATCTGTGTTAGTTTTGCCAGTAGATCATTGTCAACAACAGTATAATCTAAAGCTTCTATTCCCAGGTAGGTAGGGTGATTAAGAACAAGACCAACAGAAAAAAATAATTAAATATTAATTTGAACGAAACATTTTGATTTTGTAACCACCAAAGTTATGTCACTTGGATGTATAATTACGTGATATTATTATATT